GATTTCCCAAGTGAACACAGCACTGTATAAAATGCCCAATACCAAACCAATAATGCTGATGCTCAATGTACACCCTGCAAGTAGGCTGTTCCAGGCAGTAGAGTTGGGCATGTTTGCAGGTGCAGAGATGACATTTCTCCCAGGGTCAAGCACTCAGACTGTGCTTGGAAATTTATGGTGTCAGCAGGTATGATAACTTGCAAACCTTGTACATGGCCTGGACAGGGAAAAGATTTTCAGATTAAATGTACATTTTTTTTCTGCCTTCCTCTATTCCTTCAATAACTCTCCTTATAAGACATCCCCACTCAATCTTAAACATCAAGATTCTTCCACGTTTCAGAAAAATTAAACCAGTTATGCCAGGGATAGAGATCTGGGTTCTGATGTTCCTAGGGGACTAAGTTCCCTGATACCTGTGAAGTTAATTTAAACACTGATTTAATAAAAGCCATTTTTTACGTGGAATATGAAAGTCTACTTCCAGCGGGTACTAGAGCCCTAGCACTGCAATGGTTAAGGGAAGTATGGTTATTCTTTTTCTGATTTGAGGATTTAATTTAGCTTTTAAGGAAAAAAATTAGTCCATCCCAGTTCATATCTTCATGTACATTTATAATTTATGGTCTGTTGACTGACAGAAAAAGAACAAACATATTAAAATTTGATACCTGACCTCCAAATGAAGGAAACATTTCACAATAGAATTTGCATTGTTTAGTTCTCATCATCTTCACATTTAATTATTATTGCTGTCTTAAATATTGCATCTATTTCTTGTCCAGGAATTGAGGATCAGCTTTTTGACAGCATGCTGAAGGAATTATCTAAGTACTGAACCATAAATCCACTTCCTGTATTCATTCTGAACTTACTGTAACTGCTCATTGATGATTTAACTCAAAATACTAAGCTTTAACATTTGTTCCTACAAAACCTGCTGCTCTTCAGGGAAATCTCTGACAGTATTACTTAAGGAAGTAAGTTTTGCAAATAATGTACATCATTGGGCTTATAAATATAATTTTATTTTTAGCAAAAAATTACTTTATACAGTAAGAATATGATATTCAGAGAATATAGCATCAAAGTAAAAGCTAAGCAGTGGATCAAATAATTTGAACCCCAAGCCACAATTTCAAAAAATTAAATCAGTTTATTTTGCTTTTATGCAAATACTATTTATCTTGCCTGTTGGCAGTTCAGACTTCATTCCATCTCAGAATGTCTGAGTACTGACATGAGTGAAATTAAGTAGCATAATAAAATATCTCCACCTATCTGCTTGTCTTCTTTGCATAATCCCATTTTTAGCATTTGTATCCAAATTATTCTAAAGAATGTAAGGATAGTAGAATATAAGACACTGTACAAACAAAATAAATTAGCCCCAACACCTGATTTTGAAATGTATTTTAAGAATGGAAAGCCTGGAAAAAACATATCCTACTTTGAGATATAAATAGTTCTGCTTCAAGTATAGGATTAATGCTCCACTTAAACATTTACAGAGCCTCATGATATTCTACCATTGCCACAAACTGCTTGTGCTAAGGGCCTTTCAGGTCTAATCCTCTTGAACACAGATTTATTGCAGCTTTGCCCTATCTTCAGAGTATTGCAATCTCCTACCTCCTATTACACCCCTTTATTCTGAATTTGAATGTCTTTATTTTTGATCTTCTGGTGCATGTGCAAGCCATCAGTTACTCTCTCCACCCAGAGAGAGTACAACCACTAACAGGTCTGGGATTTATTTATGCTATTTATAATAAAATATTTGATTTTTTTTCATCAAGACAACAATTACTATGATTGCATGTGGGTTTAATTTATCTGCTTAAATAAGTTTTGTGGTTATCCAGAGCATAATGTCACTAACAATTTTACAGAGCTGAGCTCTATCAAGACTGAGAAACATGCTTGAAAGGCAAATTTATGAGCTACAGGTAATGAAGGTTGCTGAATTCTAAAGCACTGCTGCAATTACATGTAGCTATTTTCAAGGAAATCTGATTCTCAATAAAGTTTAAGCACCTTCAGCTTTAGGAGGGACCATATTGTGTTGGCACACTGGTGGAGAAGACAGATGTCAGAAATACAATGTCAGGGGAGAAGATTATGTAGAATATTTAAATTTCAGTTATAAACAATTGCATTAATTATTACTGCACTATCAATTTACATTGATGATATAAAGAACAGCTAATTGCTGTTGCTTATGTAACTTATGTAAAATATGCAAAACTGCAGAAGTCAATCATATAGATACCCTGCTGTTATTAATAACTGGTCTGGTTATCACAAATGAGTGGTTAGGATGACTCAAAAATTGCTGTCAAATATATTAACAAAAGCAAGTTTAATATAAATTTATACAACTTCACAAAGTACTATGGAAAGATTTACTCTGTTACTTACTACACAGATGAAGCATACAAATGAAAATTGGATTAGAATCAGTTTAGAATGATTTGCACAGAGACAGGAATAAAAAAGTGTGCAGAAGAGGATGTGTGACTTATTATAGATCCAAGATGGCAATATTCATGCTATATTTGCTATAGTGTGTTTCAGTCACTTCACACACACAAACATCTAGAGACACGACGTCTGTGTCTAAATAAATTTACAGATATATCTGTTAAAAATTACCCTCAAATCCAATGAAATATTAATGTTAAATGCCTTGTCGTTTCTCTGTGGGTAAGACTTGAGCTTTGAGGAGAGAGTAGGGGCGTCAGTGAGGTCCCACTGTGAGTTTTCAGTGATGGTCCTGCAAGTATAGCAAAGCTCTGAGAGGAGTTCCTCTAAGAGAGAGGTGCATCCTCTGCAGTCCAGAAGAGCTCAAAGGGCAACTCTTAGAACAGCTGCTTAGAGGGTCACAAAATGCTCGGTTTTAGTCATTAGTGAGTTTCTATCCTGGCTGTAATCCAAGCTGGCAATACTGGAGCTCTTAAAAAGGTCAGTAACGATGGTACTGTTCTACTCAGGCTACAATTCAGGTAAATAATGTTCCAAGACTGTCAGAGGACGACTGATTATCTCATGCTCCCCTCCTTGGGGAGGCAGCAGAACTCCCTGGTACAGAGAGTGCCACCCCCGCCTTAGCTGTGCAAGAATTTCTGGCACAGTCAAGGTACACTTCACCACTCAACTCATTGCTCAAAAGCCAAGTGGGAGTTCCTGAGATCATAGAGCAGCCTGAGGAGGTAGCAGGGGGAGTGCTACCTCACCACAGTGGTTTAGAAAAGACTCTGGTTGATATAGGTGAATTAAATTACCATAAAGGCCAATTTATTAATTGGGAACAAAACATTTCCCTATGAAACCTTCATTAAAAAGCATTTAACTGTGACTAATGTTAGTACATTGTTATGTGTGATCTTAAATACTATTAAGCAGGTGTCTGACAAATGAGTGTCTTCTCAGTGCCTGTCAGTTAGGTATAATTGATACATGACTAATCTAAATGAGGTCCTACCACAGCTGAAGATTTTTTTTATGGCAAATGTATTTTTATGGCAAGTATATTTTTATGGCAAATGCACGTTGAGACACATGCATTTCTATTTAATGTGACAAAATCAGCCTGAAAAAAGGTATTGATGCACCATTTTCATGGTTCTTTACACAGTATTCCAAAGCAGTTTCATGGTCTGGTTCTTCCTACAGCCCTTGCTAGATGTTCCTTATACTAGATATGACAGACGGATTTTGCAGACTTAGGAAATTTTGAGGAATGTCACAGAAGTAAAACATGTGGCATTTTTTTCCTTTTTAAATTCTGTCGGTTCAGTGACAGCAAGGATTATCACCCCAATACAGCACGTAAATGTGCGTGACTTTCAAAAGTAAAATCTCAAGATGTGTTCCTTTGGCATTCATTAACATGGAACTGAAACAAGAAGACCAAATCCAGATCAAAAAAAGAGGTTATCTGCCTTAATCTGGTATACATCATTGGAGAGAGAAGGAGAGATACCAATAAAATTAGAAGACAAGTTTGCCCATTCACAACTTCAAATGTTTTTTGAGCATTTAAGAACCCATCTATCACAAAAAAAAAAAAAAAAAAAAAAAAAGAATGTGATAACTCACTTTTGTGAGTTTGAAAACACTGATCTAATTGTCTTTCTCAAAGAGAGCTTTAAAATTTGACCCCCATCCTCATGAAGTCATTTAACTTTCCTCCCACACAGTCACAGACTTATCATCAAACATTTTCTCACATGTTCTTGTGATTTATGGTCTAACAAGGGAGAGGAATTGCCTAGCAAAAAGTCTTAGGCTATGGAGAATACCTTTAGAGACCAAATATCGACTCATATGCGCTCTAGAAGAGGTAAGGATGTGAAGCATCCAGCCTGCAATCATAGCTGCTCTCAATGTTCATGAAGTAACCATTGTACAACGTTGTATTTCACTAGTGTTTGATTGCCTCACACCATTTTTAAGAGATGATGTACAATTATCATAGTTAATGATAAACTGATTGTGAAAGCATAAAAATAAGTAATAAGGTATTATCAGGTATTCTACAGCATGGATGAAAGTGCACATACCTGTCAGACAAAATTAAAACAGCAGTAAGTGACAATGAAATGGGAAAAGAAAGATATCAGCAGTATGAGTTATAAATAAAACAATTTGTTAAACAATTTGAAGACATCTCAATTAAGAACATTTTAAAAAAAGGTGTCTAAGTAGAAATCTCACTGAATGTTCTTCAAAACACTGTACACTTTTACACATAAACTTTTGAGTCAAAATCCTTCTCTACAATATTCAGCATATGGTCTTATTCTTTATGCTGTAACCAGTATACTGTGCTGCATAAATTAATCATGCTTTACAAGCTCTATAAAGACTGCATGCCAGGAATTCAAGTGTATTCTGTATTTAAACAAACAAAAAACCCACTGTAGAAAATCTTGCCATCTAAAACAAGTAAAATGTGGTTTCAAGTCTCATTATTTTTTTTCACCCTCCTCCTACAGGATCACAACAACAGCTGCTTGCATGATGGATCTACGCAGATATCCTCTGGATGAGCAAAACTGCACGCTAGAAATTGAAAGTTGTAAGTTACTGGGGGGAAAGGGTTGGCCAAATGACAGCTGAGAACTGAACGACATTCACAGGGCAGGCAAAACAGGAGCAAGTTGTTCAAATACTATGGGTTCAGTGAGCTTGCACACTGAACATACTAAATGTATTTCTGTAATACACAAGCTAAATTGTGTTTCATTTATAATACTGGTTGATCCAAGCTTGTAAGATGTTGACAATCTCTTGTCAAGGAAGGGAGAAGGATATTTTTTGAAGATTAGTTCAGAGAACAGCAACCAAGCACTGTCCATCTTCAGTGCCTAATCACTGCTGAACCTGGAGTAATTACTTCACCTCAGCACATTCATCTCGATTGACATCTGTCCCACGTGGTGGTGGCAGGACTGATCAATTGCTGTTACCAAATCATTTGGAGGTTATAAAAGGAAACAACTTGATCCTTCAGCACCGAGGTTAATGACAACTTTGTCATTGTCTTCCATGAGCATAGGAACATGGCATGCACTTACGAATTTTTGTTATTGTCTCTTTATATTTTATGATGGCAGCTGTTAGAGAAGTGCCTGTGAAGGTTTTTGAAAATAATCTTTATTATGCTGGCCATGTAGTTTCCAGTGTTTCCCATCATGCCACTGATCTCCCCAGTCACTTTCTGCTAGTTCAAAACTCAGTCCAAGTATCACAATCCACCACTTTACAAGACCTAAGAAGCTGCTGGTTAACATGCATGGTTGTCTTCCCATACTTGAGTTTTGCAGTCCCCTGCCTTTTTTTGGCAAGAAAAAGTTTTCTTGCTTGCTGATGCTTGGCTTATCCTCTGACTTAAACTTATTAAGGCATGTAATGGATGCTTTTGGAGAATGAGTCAAACCTTGATTTTCAAAATACAGCACATAACACTTCTCCTCAGTCACTTTTCCATCTGATTAACAGAGGAAACGGATATCTATACAATACCACAGCAACCAAAATGGGTGATGATAGTGAAGCTGCCTTCATATTGAACACATACCTAGTTTATTTGTTGGGAGATAGTTGATTTGAAGTCCCCAGGAACATAAGCATTTATCAGCTGGCATATATCAGCCCAAATAATGAAACTAGACTGATAATTTACTGGTTTATATCTCTTTTTTTCACAAGCTTTCACATAAATGAAGCTTTGTAGGGATAAATGTTCAGTGAGAATGGATTTTACACTACCACTGAGACCTCATCAAGAATCAAAATTAGCATCAGATGGAATAAGCAATTAAAGTGCTAACACAATCAGGGATGAGAGAATACCATATCACTCGTGTGGCTAGTCACACATGCTCAAAAGAAAATTGCTTTTCAGACCTTTTGAACACTTACATAAATAATTCATGTCTCTAGAGATACATGTTGATATGTTAAGACCTGTTGATCACAATTTGCAACAGGTCAAAATTGGAGAGTGAATTACTTCTCATGAATATTTAGGTCAGTTCTACTAACAAGTGAATGATTTTCCGAAAGCACAGATGTGCTTACCTGCTACTGGAAGCCCACAGGCAGTAGATGTGTCAGGGGCCTTTGACAATTGTCCACCTAAAATATACTTTCTAATGCACCACAGTTCTTCTCATCTGCATGTAATTGAAAATTATTGATCATGTGTCCTGGACACATAAACTAGGACATCACATTTGGAAGAATAGAGTTCTATTGCCTGCTTCTTTCTTAGGCATTTGAGTACAATCTGGCCAGAGTACTCTACACTCAGTAGTGCCCACTTATCCCCTTGAGAGTAATGAAGGGACAGAATGGAAAAGGGTGAATAAAGAGGTGACCACATGACCACAGCTTCTCTGCTCATGCCATGTGTATTAGGCATGTGGCATTTGCTTCCATGACAGAACCAGTTTATAAGACTCCCACCCTCAAGCTCTCCTTCCAACTCCTGCATCACCCTTCAGCTTCTGTTCTGTTTCTATTGTGCCAGTACATGAATGTTCACAGAGTTAGGTTGAAAATGAAACTGTTTCTATTTTTTTTGGTCAAAGCAATATCTCTTTGATAGAAAGGCTTATCCACCACAATTTTGGAACAGAGGGGAATTGAATAAACCCCAGGACAGAACTATTCCTTAAGTAAAAGGGCCAAGGATGGTGGTGCTGTAGTCACTAAGCAAGTTTGTGCAATAGCAAGCAGCATTTCTCACCACTAGACAGATGCTGTGCAGTATGTGCACTGTCAAACCATTTTCAAAGCACTGGAAAGTGGACTTGTTCATTTTTATACTGTGCACAGTTATATGGTTTAATCCATGTGGCACCAGCTTCCAGAGCAGTCCTGTTGTACTGTGAGAGGTGCAGAATTTCCTTCATTCCTAAGGGTTGGCAGGCAGGTGGCTCTCAGAAAGTCCCAGGGTGCTTCCCCATTTCTAAACCAAGCAAACTGGAGGCACATTTTCCCTTCCAAAACCTGAATGCTCCCTGGTGCATCCACAACAGCGGTGCAGCTGTGCAGCACTGCCACAGAGTACCAATGCTGAAGCACACACAACCTGACTGTCTTATGAGTTTCCATGAGTTTTTAAGGGTGACTTACTCCTGCTGCAGATGGAGCATGTTCCAGAGGAACCAGGAAGTCCCACAGATTAATTTGTCAAAGAATAGATGAACATGGCACTACTTGTGAGTTATTTCACCTCATAGAGATGCTGTGGTAATTAGCCAAAGACAGTCACTGAAAATCTAAAGTGATAAGAATTGTTCCTTAATAATACTTAACAGTGAATAATTTCAGGCATTGCAAATAGCAGCAAATCAGCTGTGTGACACTGGAATGGAAAAGAGCACAAGAAACCAAATGCTGCACTATTATCAAACCTCTCCAGCAGCACACCGAAGGCATGGATAATGCATGCCTATATTGAGTCAGAAGATTATTTTCATTTAAAAATTGCATTTCCAGCTTTCCTAAAGCTATCTTACAGGAGTGCAGAAGCTATCTATGCTTGGCTGACAATGAGAGAAATGTATACATTTAGGAGGGGAGCATTTTGGCTGCACATGTTCCTTCACACACGTTCTTCACAGTTTTACCCAACCAGTTCACCTTATTCCAAATTGTGCAGTGGAAGATGGGGAGACTATATCAGACATTTTTCACCTGTTCCAGTGTCTAATACCATGATGGCCACTGGAAACTTCTGTGTACAAACTCAAGGGATTTTATAACTGGAACTGCTTCATCAGCAGAGCTGGGATCTGTAACAATCTATTTCTCACAGATTAGCATATACTGAGAAACAGGAGGCTTAATACTTGGCTGGAGGTTACACAGACTGCTTGGCACTGTCACATGAGCTCTGATGGCTGTCAGCTTGGCAATTTAAAATGTTAAATCTCCCAGCTGTTAGTTCTGCTGTATCAGGTAGCCTTTGGCAAGGGCCACAACTGCTATGGCAGTTCAGAACCCACTGCCTTGGCACAAGTCCATTGTTTCTGGCAGCAGCCACAACAGGCTCTGGACTGGCATGGCTGCAGACACACAGCTGATAAAGGAGCAAGCAGAAGGAGAAGGCAAACAACCAGGGACAGTAGCATCAAAATGCTACAATTTTATCACCCAGAGATTGCCTGCCAGAGACTTCTGACTGCGTAAAGCTGCCTCACTCTAGCATCCTTCTTTACAAGTGCTAACCTCACTGCACTACCTAGAGGGCAAGACGTAATACTGTTATTGTTTTAATACTCTTTATCCCTCTGTGGTTGCCAGTATCACAGTAACAGCAGAATCTTATGGACTAAGTTTGCATCTGGCTTTCACTCGTCAGAAAAAAGTGTGCTGACAGTATCACTCTTACAATAAATTAAATCCCCATTTGGGGTTTTACTTATAGCATCTCACAAACTTCAGTGAAATGTGTTTCACTGTCACAGGAGAGGGAGGGCCCAGCTGTGCTCCAGTTTGGCAAAGTCATTTATTTATTGGCAGGCTACTATGTGTTTTACAGGAAGTCTGAGCTGATTATCAAAACTCTCCTTTTGGACTCAGAAATCTGTGTCTCTATGACAACAGTTAATGCTGCAGCATCATTCTGGGATCAACACTGCAACATTGAACCGTGCATTAGCCTTGTCAGCAGTACCCTTAGAAACCACTTGAATGGGTGAACTGAACAGGCCCACAGAAACCTGAACAGAGATACTTGGGGAAAAGAGGAAGATTTATTCAGTTGGCTACAGTATAAAAACTGGCAATTCTGTTTTGATTCCACTGTTTGTATGGCTGTCCCGTCTTCATATAGAAATAGATCTAACACTAAATATATGTAATGCTTCTATGAAAGTGCAACCAACTTAGAATGATATTACAGTAAATCAATAAAATGTTCCACTTGAACCTCTACATAGTTTGTTGCCAGAAAAAAACAACTGACTTCATACCTAAACATTCATTATCACTTTTGTTGGCACAGAGCCATCTGGTGGAATGAGATTTCAACAGATTTATCACAGCCCTCTGCTTGAGACAAGATTGCATTGATCCAGGGTATGACTGCATTTGAACTACCAAGGATGTAAGAACCTACACCTCAAACAAATAGGGATTTTTTTTAGAGATGAAAAACCTGTCTTAAATCCAAGCTTTCCCATACAGCTTTTCCTTTTCCTGTCTGCAGGCACCAGATATTTAGTAATTTATTCATGCCTGGCAATAAAAATTCACTAATGAATGTTGCTGTTCTCGTACCTGAGGCAGCAAGAGCTTTGAGCTGGATCCACTTATATATTTTCCCTAAAGTATCCAAAACCACTAAAAGGTCATCTGGTCTCATCCTGTTTCTTACCAAGCATATCAAATTGGTTCCACAGAAAGCATAATTTCTCTTTTCTCAAAGGAGCTTGCTGCTCAGAGTATTCTAAAAGCCAGTTGCAAGGCCCCTTCCCAATTAAAAAAAAAGGTCTGGAAGGATAATGAACCCAATGCCTTTTTTAAGAGCTTATAATTCTGATTTTCCTAAAGAGGGCATCCCCC